GTTTAGGTTACCAAAATTTTTTGTTATTTTGTTTTGAATTAATTAAGTTGGGAATATTTTACCTATAATTCTTTTTATTATAATCTTATAATTCATCAATTATAATAAAAAAATACAGAAAAATTAATGACAAAAAAGTATTAGTTTTATAAATATTTTTATGAACTCTATATAATGCTAAATTATATTTGATTAATTACACTGCAATAATGATAAATGATATGTTCCCGAATATGTACATCTATACAATCTATGTATGCCCGGAAATATGTCTCTGATCATGGAAAGACTTATGACTAAGATCCTTTTCATATGAGGAAGCGTTTTAGGAAGATATTCTCACTAAGCAAGATCCAATTTGCTTGATACGTGAATTCTAAGTTTAGAGAAATGCCTATCTTTAAAGGTTAAGAATAAATAAAATAAAATAAAATATGCTGTTAAGTCCTTTCGTAATATTTAAGAGTAGAGTCTAACTAAGATATATATCATTTAAGATCATGTTTAGTATATAAGATTATATTAGGATGGGATAAAATAATATTATGAATATGATTAAATTAAATAATATCATTCTATCTTATATTTGATATGCATAATGATTAAGATAAAATAATTTATTTGTTGGTTAAAATTATCTTTTTTTAAAATCTATATAATTTAAATTATTAATATAATTTTTAAGGGTATTATAGGACATATAAATTTAATCTTATAGATTAAAAAAAAATTCTCTTTACTTTGAAAGAATTAAATAATCCTATATCAAGATGATATTCTTTTTTGTAATCCTATCAATTTCGATTATATATAAACCAAATATAACATAAAATAATTATTATATTATTTTATTCATTATCTTATGTACCAAACATAATCTAAATTAATAGTCCATATTGATGAAATACAACTTAATTGTAAGACTTAAACACACGAATAAACTAACAACTACAATTCCACTAAGGGTGGGTGAATTTTTTTTTTTTTTTGTAACTATATTTTTGATACATAGAATGGGTATAACTAATGAGAAAAAAAATTTTTGTTCAAAATCAAAACCACTATTTTCTCTTGATAGCTCTTTAACCACTTAGCTATTTTTAATTATGATTAAAGAAAATAATATATGATAAAGGTGGGTAAGGTTTTTTTTTAAGTAAAAAGTGGATAGGTTTTTTAAATAAATAGTTACCTTTTATTTAGTGAGAAGACACAAAAATCTTTAATTTTATATCTGTTATAATAATTTTATTTGGTTTTTATGTACCTTCCTTGATTAGATTTGTGCCGTTTACTCATTTGACTTATGACTAGTAAAGATAGATAATAAAATATAATTGTTAATAGAATATTAAACTTTTAATTTTAGTAATTAAAATTTAATTCATGCTTCAAATACAAAGAGGAAAACTAATAATAAAATGTAAAACTAACAATAAAATAAAAATACGCAAAATCCTTAAATATATTATATATTTGCATTAAGACTGTAGTTTTTTTTTTTTTTTAAAAAGAAAATAACACTCAAGGAAAAGAAAGAAAAAAAAAACAATATTCAAAATCAAGAATCAAAATAATTGGACAAAAAAATTAAGAATGCAAAATAGAAAATGACAATAATGGATAAAATTCAAATCAACAAGAATGATATCAACGCCTCAAATTAAGTAATTACCTTTTAAAATGGCAATATTAGAGGGTAGTCTCAAGAGTCAAGATATATATTTAAATTAAATTCATAATTTATTTGAATTAAAATAATATTTTTAAATTTAATAATTTTGATATAAGGGTTTAAAAAAGTTTAAGAATTACACTAATATAAATGGATTTATCTTTATATATATATATATATATATATATATACACGAGGAAAGAACAATTTATACATTGTAATTATTTTTTAATTTTACATCTTTTTTTAATTATTGATTTTAATAAATTTAAAGATGAAAGAAATAAATAAAAATTAAAAATAATTAAATCTCGTCCATTTATACTAATGTAATCCATATATATATATACACCTAATTGTGAGCTAAGTATGTCAAGATAAAGGGTTAAATCCAACTGACATATTTCATATTTTATTAGGAAAATAAATCTTAGTTTTTAATTTTTCTTGAAATTTTCCGTTTTGAAAAAAAATTGGAACATAATTCTCACATCATCGGTTCAATACTGGATATGTAGCCTTTCGTAAAGAAGATGATTAATATTTATAAGGCTTTGATAATTAAGGGTCGCTTGTGTGGTATAAAGATTATGTGAGCTTAATTAGTTTTGCACGCACTTCCTAATTAACTAGTAGCTTCTAATGCTTTTTTTTTTTTTTTTGGCCAGAAGCTTCTAACGCATTTAGTATTTCTTTTTATTTTTTGGTAAATAATATAAAACAAATGTATAATTAGATTGTTCAAACTGATTATGTTAATGGGTATGCTATGGGATGAGTAAATCATTCATTGTGTTTTCTAAATTTTTATATTATATTCATTCACATATTTATATCCTATTAATATTTCAAATATATTTTCATCTCTACTAATATTTATGGTACGAATAATTTTTGTATTCATAACTTTTTTAAAAAATAAAAATAAAATTTTATTTTTTATTTTTTAATTTTTATCTTACACATTTATATAATTTTGTTTTGAATATATATATATATATTAATATATATTTTAAATAAAAATATATTAATTTTAATTAATCTAAAATAAGATTTTATGTTATTTAACAAAAAATTTTATTTATTAAACATGTATAAATATATATAAACAATGAGGTACAAGAACAAAATGGATATTATATTATCAGTCCTCATATCTTATAAAAAAAATTTAAAATCATATTTATTTTCTTTTCTATTTCTAAAATTTAATATTTATTTTTGTCCTTATTAAGATAAAAAATCAAAATTTTCATAAATATAAGTAAATTTGATATTTCTAATTCAAACTCTTAATTAAATTATACCGTAAATAATAAAAATTACCTTTTGTTGTGTAAATATAAAAATAAACCATTTTTAAAGTTAGAAATTGAAATTAATTATTTATATTAACACCAATGATCTTACTATTTGAACTAACCTACCAATACTATTTTCCAGATTTTTATTTTGTGTATTTACATTTTCTTTTAATTTTTTATTTAATTATTTGTGTTTTTTATTTTGATTTCCACAAAAAAGTATTAAAGAGGGAGCTAAGAAAATCTAATGCGTAATTCAATTAAGTGGAGTCGTGTCATGGGTTTTGGCCAACAGCGGCTCACGTCCCTTCTGACCGAGTAGATGTAGTTTACTTTCGGAGGTTCACGCACTTCATAATTTCATTTTAATATTAATGGATATTTTCAGTTTTATTAAAATATAATATATTTAAAGATAATTTTTTATATTAAATTTGATATAAAATAATATTAATTAATTTAATTAATTTTAATAAATTAATTTATTTTGATCGATATTATGAAATATAATTTATAATTTACAATTTATAATTTATAATTTAATTATTTTTAATTTAATAAAAATAAAATAATTGATAAAATAATTCTTGCACGTTCAATTTTTTTAATTTTTAAGTGTAACTTATTTTTTATTATATTTTATTTTTTCAAATCAAAATTCATAAGAATTTTAATTTTTTTCAAGAAAATATTTGTGCTTTCTCTAAAATTTAACAATTCTAAAGCCAATGTTAATTTTTTTTCATCTCTTTATTTTTATTTTGATATATTTTTATATAAAATGATTCATTTAAATATCATATAATTAGATTAATTATTTAAAATATCATGATAAATTGATGACATTATTTTTTATATTTTTAAATTTATTAATTTAGTTTTTGAAAATATCATATATTTATTTTGTAAATTGCTAATAATATTATTATATAAATTTATGTATATTTATAAATATATTTATATTAAATTAAAAAATTCAAAATAATATATCAAATTAATTGATACTGATATATTAATAATTTAAGAAAAATCAAAACATTAGTATTAAATACTTTGACACGCATTCCACTGGTAGGTAGAACTATTCCTCCTGTAGAATTGCAGACATCCAACTCTACCTTTCACACTCTTGTCGCCTTACGTGGCCCGTTCCAGTTGAATTATGAGATTATGAATTGCAGTGAACTTTCAGACAACGAAAAACTACAAAAATTCGTGATCAATGCATAAATTTTTTGTTTTTTTGAGTTCAAACTCGTTGAAGTTGAAGGATTATTTTTTATTTCATTTGGGTTCATTATTTTTTTTTATATCAATTTGGTCCGTTATTCGTTTGGGTTATTTTATAAGTTAAAGTGATCAATTCATAAATATATTTTTTGGATTATTGGTTTAATTTAGGAACCAAATAAATTCCACCCTCATTTTTTTATTATTTTTCAAATAAACAGAATTTGGATGAAAAATGTTGATGTGGGAAACCGATCCTGCTGGAATATGTTGAAACTCTCTCAGAATGGAAATGAGCATAATTTCCTTGGATTCACACTTTAAATTTCAATCGTTAGACCGAGCACGTAGTGCGTGAAAATCCCGATGTTTATTTCCTAGTTTCCAACTCGAAAATTTGTCAGAAACGTCAAAAAATTGATATTAATATTTAAAAAATAGAGATCCAATTACAATATTTTTTATTTTTGAATTTGAATCAAAATAAATATTTTAAATCTTATTCATTTTAATTTAAAAATAAAAATAATATAATACTTATATTAATATAACTGAATCACTATTTTATGCCCGTTGAAAAAAACCATAATAAACTTTTTTGAAGTCCCTGTATCGCAAATACTGTCAGAAGAATAGGAATTCAAGTACCAAAAAATCATGGTTAATTTCCAGGAAAACAACATTGTCTCCACTTCTAGAAGTACAAACAACTATGAAGACATTGAAAAACATCATCTGCCTAACAACCTTTGTCAAGACTTCTAGATTTTCGAAAGCATTGAAGGTAGCCACCCAAAATTGAAAGAAAAGAATATCTTTCCTTGCACAATGCACATCTTTTTTCAAATGTAAACGCCTAAAGGTTGACTTCGTGAATTTATATAAGTGCCTAACACTTCTTTCTTTGGCGGAGATATTTTCTTTTCCAGGAAAACCAGAGGAAACGGCAACAGGGACGACCTTGAGAACACATTAACAAAATGGCTGGTCGCTTGGGATTGATAGCTACCTTGATTGTTGTGGTGGCTTTGTTCAAGACTACAGCTGCAGAAACTTACACGGTGGGAGATGAACTGGCCTGGACCATCCCTCCTGGTGGCCCTATCGCATATTCCACTTGGGCTAGGACTAAAAACTTTCAGATCAATGACACCATAGGTATATTATTCCTCAAACAAATCTTCTTCTGATTCAACAGCTTTGAATTTGATAGCGGGATAGAAAGATGCATTATGATCATATCACCAATCGAGAATATTTACTTTTACATTTAGATTTTGAGAAGATTGGACTAAATTAATGAACATAATAATTTTGATTGTGATTCAGTGTTCAACTGGACTGATACACACGATGTGGCTGAAGTATCCGAGGCTGATTATGACAATTGCACAAAGACAAATCCCATTGGGACCATCCAGGAGAGCAGCCCAGCAAATTTCACATTGGTTTCCAACAATTCCCGTTACTTCATCTGCACTATCAGCAGCCACTGCGAGCTTGGCCAGAAGGTTACTATCAACATCGGAGAGTGGAATTCTGCTTCATCTCTGACAGTCGGCTCTTGTCTGTACTCCTCTCCACCATGGTCATTTCCCTGTTGAGTTTCCAGATTTAGATAACGCCCTGTCATGGCAGATTTTTCTTCTTTGGCCACTGTTCCATTGCTTTGGTTTAATAGTGCCCATACCACATAGTAGCATTTTATTTCATAATTTTCGGAATCAATAAAAATGATATTATTATATGATAAATTGCTATGGCATTATTACTGAACCTGTCCTATTTCCATTGTAGACAATGGAAGCCTGAAACCAGAGCCTTGTTACGGGTTTCTTCAACATTGCTGTTAGTCGCTTAAAATTTAGGATTTAGAACTTAAGGTTTAATCGATAATCGGCAGAACCTAAGAAACACACTACTGCAAACAGACAAAAGTATGATTCTTGATCTATGATACAGAAAACTCCTACAAGTTTGGACATTTTCTTCACATGTCCAAATTTCCAAACATATGATCTTTTATAAATTATGGTATTAGTAGGATGCATCCGCTGGAACCCACAACTTAGTTATATCGCGGCTGGCGAATGGCCGCCGAAACTAAAAAGAGGAAGACCTCTGGTTGGAAACTAAAACTTATTGAGCTGATGTTATTGTGTTGGTGGTGAGAGGGTAATAACAATATAAGGTGAAGCCAAAACTGCACTGAGATAAGAAAGAAAAGAAAATTGAATATCCTTAAAAAAGGAAAATAACTCCATTAGTGGTCGGCCATTGTCTTTTTCACAGTAGGGAATAAGATCGCTTGCCATCCAGAAATTTAAAGCTTGGTGGAGTCACCTCACCACAGACCACATGGGAAGAGTTAGACCCTGCCCAGCTATGAGAAGAATCTCCAAAAAAATTTTAAACTTAGAAGGTCCAGAATGGGATAAAAATGGAAAAGGCAACATACCTTATATGAGAAAATAAAGTAAACCACCAATTACAACTTCAGATTCAAAGGGTTCTGTAAATATGGATGAAGAGCACTCAACATCAGTAAAACATTTTCCTTATTCCAGTAATCGGAGCTCAAAATGAAGAAATCCTCAATGCAAGCATTCATCTTTGAGGCTAAACTGAAAACCAACGACTCACCCCATCTGCCTCACTCCCTATCCGAACAAAATAATAAAGCCATTCTTGTTGCAAGCCACTTCACCATCATAATTCTTGAAATAGGTAGGCATAAACTCCACTCATCAATCAGACAGCTAAGACATAACAGCTCTTTCTACAAAGCACCAAACACAAGTCTTCAACCAAAAAATCCTTAGTGTGCATCTCTACAACCTGAAAACCTAATAAATTAAATGCTGACCAGGATTATTACGATGAACCATGTTATGCCCCAGTGCATAATTACTGTAGTGCATTACACCACAAGGATATGCATAAGGCCATTAGCTCCCATCCTGTCCCATATCCCCTGCAACTGCAGTAATCCAGTCCCCTTCTCACAAATTACCTCCATTAAGAGGCTTATCTACATCACAGAAGTGAAAAAATGTAATGGATAATTCCAAACCTGGCATTGATGACAAACAGCAAACTGCACTAGAAAATTTGGCTCAATCAAATCTAATACCAAGTGTCACAATGTATATATCCGTAAACCTATCATTGACATAGATTTTAGGGAGTCGTTACAAATTTTTTTTGTTTAGATGTGATTGGTCACCTAACAGAACCTATTATATTTAAAAAGAGTCCCAAGATTACTTAGGTATCTTTAAATAGTAGATTTTAGTTAAAAAATTATATTTTAGACTCAGAAATGTAGTTATGCGTGAAGAATGTTATAGTACCCTCACAGCGTCCATCCAAAAGATAGTATCAATTTAATTTCAAATTATCCAAGTTTTAACCATTTTTATAATTTACTAAAATATTTAATTTTAAAAATTAATCTTAAAATTACTCCAATAATTTGATAGCAATTTAAGATAATTCTCTTACCTAAGAAATATTCATAGAGACTAGTGTTTCAACTTGAAGAAGCTCCGTTGTCGAATTTATTAATGTATCTTAATCAAAAAAATAATTAGTAAAGTCCTCCAATAATTTAATATGATTTACGTTGATACAAATCTCTCAATAATTTGGTATGATTTTATTGTAAAATATTTATAAATTTTTTTTTTTGATAAAATTCATTAAATCTTCTAATAGTTTGGTAAGATTTAACTTAAGATGCAATCTTCCAATAATTTGATAGGATGAAATACAAAATATATTTTTTTTGAAAACTCTTTTTTTTAATTTGAAAGAGAAAAAAAATCAATTAAAGTGGACAAAAATTATCTTGCAAAAAAATATCATGCAAATAATGTAAATATCACACAATGATATATCATACAATTAATATAAATTATCATGCAATAATGCAAATAATGAATCATGCAAATCATAAATATTACATGCAAATAAATTTAAAATATACAAATAAACAATGCGAATAAAAATCATGCAAAAATAAATAAATAATAAAAATATGTAAAAATATCATAAAGGAAGGAGAAAGAAATTAAATAAAAGATTGAAAATAGAACATAAAAATCTAACCGGGTTGGGTCACTATGGCTCTCATGTGGGTCCTTTTTGGTTGGAGTTCAAAACGTTACCATTTGACTATCTTCACCCTTTTCAGCATTTAAATCGTTAAAGTCAAATATTCAGCCTATTTCCTTCGATTAAAACCCGAGACTGATATCTAACTCCTACTCTTTTTCTTTTTCCTTTACTAACCAGAAGACCAACCCACCTCTTCTACCATTCGTCATCGCTTAATAGCAATGAAAGTCTAAAAACAGAATCGTTTTTTAAACTCCTTGCAATCCCCTCTTTAAATTTTCTCAAAAAACCTAAAAACTAGAACATTCGCAGAACAACCCAACAACCAACGAGATCTTGCTTCCTGCCATCACCATTCGCCATTGTTCTCTACTTCCTGTCACCTTTCCTATTTTTTGCCTCAAACCTCAACCAAGAACCTTTTGGAACTTTCCTTTTTGCTACGTAATTGCTAATGTTCTGCGTATGGTTATCCGATTGCTTATTGCTTTTGTTTTCTGCCTCTGTTTGAGGTTATCTAATCTTGCTTTTATTTGTAGGTTGGATGGGTTATGGATTTTCTTCTTGTTGAATTTGATTGATGAACTTGGGTGAATGGGATTTGTCTATTTCGGTTTGTTGTGGCTGCTTGATACTCCCTCTAATTTGCCCAGCTGAATGGGTGTTGAATTATTACATTGCTGAATTGCTTGAATGCTTACTGCCTAAAAAAAATTTGCTACTGAATGATCCTTTATTCTACCGAATTGATTCTATAATTGTTTCTCAGCTTTTTATCTAATTGCTTGATTACAGGCTCTCTCTTAATTACTGCCTGTAGAATTGTTGCTACTCTAGAGAATTAAGCTTAAATGCCAAAAATCTCTTTGTTTTGAATTACTCTTGATTGGTTCTTCAATTTTGCTTATTCGCCCCATTTCTTTTTTGCTTTGCCTTCAGATTTATGTAAAAATTTATGTTAAATCAATTCTCCTTAAATCTATGATTTTATTTGATTTAATTTTAACGTGAATTGATTTTGAAATTGAATCCAAAAAATCTCTTTAACATCATTTTTGCTAAATTTCATTAAAACCTTTTTTTTTTAGACGAAAGTAAAATTAAACCAAAAATTAAGTTAAAAAAAATAGATTTTTTTTCAATTAAGCTCAATTTACAATTGAAGCCTGTTTTTAGTTTCGAAAAATTTTTTGGGCAAAATGAGTATCTATAATTACCTTTCTTTATATATTTTTTATGAAACAGAAATTGTACAAAAACAAAAGATATTCATTTTGTTCGAATCTAAAAGTTGAGATTTAAAAAAGTGATCAAAATATACCAAAATAGGAAAATGATTGAGACTTAATTGCGAAACAAAAAATAAAATGATTTGGATTGAATTGATATTAAAATAGGTGATCGGGATTAAACCGCAAGTCAAAAATAAAATGATATGAATTGAGCTAAGATTGAAACGAGTGATCGAGATCAAACTGTGGGTCAAAAAACTAAAATGATCTAGACTGAACCGAAATTAAAATAGGTGATCTGGATTGAATCACAGGTCTGAAAATAAAATGATCTAGACTAACTCAATATCAAAACGAGTGACTGAGATTAAATCACAGGTCTGAAAATAAAATTTAAAATTTTTTAGCCTGAAATCCAAAGATTCACTATTTGAAAATCCAAAGATTTGTAAGGTTCCATAACAAAAATTGAAAAATGTCAATTAAGGATGTAAATGATACATTAGTATTCGTAAGCTACTCAAGTTCGATTTGAGTAAAACTTGAATTTGGCTTGATTATTATCAGATCAAGTTCGAGCTCGAGTAGCTCGCGAGCCTAATCGAGCTTTTATATTTAAATATATTTTTATTATTTTATTAATAAAATATCTCAAACTCGAGCACAAATAATCAAGCTTTTTTTGAATATAAGAATCGAGCTTATTTTTACATATTAATCGAGCCTAATCAAGTAAGCTCGAGTAACTTGATTTTTATCTTGAGTCGAACTCAAGCTAGAAAAATAAAACTCGATCGAGTTTGAGTTGAGTTTTGAGCCTCAAATTTCGAATCGAGCTTGAGCTTAATATTGTACGGCTTGAACTCGATCGATTACACCCCTAATCCCAATACTCTAAATTTTGTAAAAAATTTACAAAGATTTTCAAATTCGTAAGAATGAAAGATCTGTAAGATTTCAAGTTTCGCAGAGGTTCTAGATTCACAAAGGTTTCAAGTTCGTAAGGATTTTTTAGATTCACAATAATAGAATATTTGCAAAATTCAAAGTTTCACAGAGGTTCTAGATTCGTAAAGGCTTTAGGTTCGCAAGCAATTCAAAGATTTGTAAACAATTCAAACGTTTGCAACAACTTCAAATATTCACAAGCAATTCAAAGATTTGTAAAAGTTTCAGTTTTGCAAGAAATTCAAGTTCGTAAGAAATTCAAAGATTCGCATTCAAAAGATCCAAAATCTAAAGCTTTATGTTTGAAATTTTCAAGGATTCACATAAAAGATTTTAAAGTTTAAATATTCTTGTTTGAAAATTTTCAGGGTCTTACATCTAAAAATTAAAGATTTTTATTCAAAAATTTTGGAGTTTCACATAAAAAATTTAAAGAATCTCATTTAAAAAGCTCCTTTAAACAAAGACTCTATAACTTTAAAAGTTTGAAAAGTTTGCCAATAATACATCTTATTATGAAAGATATTCCTCATTTGAGGATTCAAAAGTAAAAAAAAAAATTTTTCAATCATAGTCAAATTCTTGTATGTGATAAATGTCATGCAAATACCTTCTAAATGATGCAAAT